TGTTTTTTTTATACCAGATTTATTTTTTTGAAAATTACCAAACTTTCGTGGCTTGTATTTTGTGACCTTGACTTTTGTTGATCTTGTGACCTAAATAAAAGTGATATCCCACGACAAGATCTACCTAATTTTATCTTCATATTTGTTGTACGATAATAAGTCGCTAAGGTATAGCCATTTAAAAATGGTCACGTTACCTAATATACATAGAGCAACATATTCTATTTATCTGTATTATGCATGATGTCTTTTTTCTAATGAAGTATATTTGATATTTTGATCTAAATTACGACTTTTAAACGACTAGATTTAAACAGACAATTAAGGAATATGTCATGTGTTTAAATGATCTACAGTCATTCCAATTTTCAATCAGACGTCTGTTCCTGTAATCCCACTGAAACTTAGTGTTTGATGACGTCACTATCGCAAACTTTGTTCCGAGCGCAAAAGAAGTTTTCATCTTTCATCTGATTTAAATGAATTTGTGTGATCATATATATAGATGAGATCTTGGACAAGCTCTTTTTGACAATTTTTCGATGAACAGTTTTGATTTAACACCATTGACTTTGACAAATTTGTTGGTAAAAATAGTTAATGATGGTTTCCCTTATTATTTTAGTGTCAAATTAAGCAACTTATTTGAATAATTGGTGTTTCTAATGAATTATCTTGTATTCTTAACCATATTAACAAAAGATCGCTGACCTAAATTCTGATGATTAGGCCTAATCACCGCCATTTTCTATCGTTTCTTTCAGTCTTTTTAAATCTTCCAGTTTCAATATTTATATTAGGTGTTGATAATTTTAATTTAGCAATATGTTGAATGTATCTGTACTTAGAATTTTCATGTATTTTGTCTTTTGCATTAGACGTATGAGGTATTTTGTATCGCATTATGTTACATTTGTGTTTTGATTTAGACATTTCTACATAGCAGTAGGTTTTTGCCGCTTTCCTCCGCTCTACGTGTGCTACAGACTGTACACGTTAAAGATCCCTCGACAGTTGGAAATCTAAAAAAACCTCTAGTTGTTCAGATGGGACAATAAACTGAGGCCCCATGTCCTTCAGGCTGTGAACGTTAAAGATATCTCAACATTTGGAAATCGAAAAAGAGTAGGTTAATGCCGTTGTCCTGGTAAAAATTTCCCTCGTTGCACACTACATGGCGTTGCCCGTCCTCAATCACATGGTGCAGAAAAGTAGGACGTAAAACTCCATTCATTTCATTTTTCAAATTGTCATTGATATTTTAGAATGAGGGTACAAGTACAATTTCCCTCATTGTACACTGCATGGCGTTGTCCGTCTTCATTTAGTCCAATTAGAAAAATAGGACGTAAAATTCCATTCATTTCATTTTTCAGAATGTCAATACAAGTATACAAATGAAACAGGTTTGGAGCCCTATTCCTACAAAGGAAGTTTAGTATCTGATTCAGCGGAATGTGATGAAAACTGTGCTAACGATATCAGATGTTCCACTTCTACCATGACTTGGTTTAAAAGATGTCTACGTTACGAAACACCATTCATCTTCGTGTCGTATGAGGTAAATGAAGACCAATGTATTGAAAAGTGCAACGAGATGAGTGAATGTAAAACGATTGGCACTGAAAGCCGATTGAGTTTTTCCTGTTTTTTATTTAACGTTACATTGGGCAAGATTCCAAATAATCTGAAACGACCTTACCGAACCACTTATACCGTAGCACAGAAAATCTGTGAATAATAAAAAAAAACATGTTTATCATGATATAGACCTATCTCTTTTTTGTTTGTGGCAATAACCTTGGGTATAAGGGGGTGAAAGCCGACTCTAAGAAGCAAAGGCACCGGCATCAAAATTGTTCTTACTTTCGAACCCACGGCACCTAATAGCCAAGCAGACGACAATCCAACTCGCTACCGTCTGAGCTGTTCTAAATACTAGGTATTAGTGGGTAAGAGCCGACTCCGGTAACATTGGCACAGGCATCAGAATTGTACTTACCCTGAGG